GCAACAGACTAGTCGGCAAGGCAAAGGATATTTAAAAATCAAGGTTTAGTTTAAAAAAGGCGAATATTTAAAAACAACTTCTTTCTTCCTCTAGATAGGCTGCCTTCCCAGCCCGAAAAATTACATCATCCCAATATATATATATATATATATATATATATATATATGTGTGTGTGTGTGTGTGTGTGTTTTTAGTTAGTTGTTACACAGTAAAATCCCAAATCTCTTGTAGGGAATATGCTTATTTCAACCGACGGGATCCATCAATCTTATTCAATCCAGTATAGAATGAGTTCCCCATATGAATTAATTTAGGATTTTATTGTGTACTCATTATTTGCCCTGTAATAATAAATACATTGAGCTCTTACCGTGGATCAGTTTTAATATTTTATATTACCAGTACCCAATTGATTTATTACCTTTTATATATATATATATATATATATATATATATATATATATATATATATATAATATATATATATATAAAAGTGAACATTGAAGTCAACACTCAGGCTGTTTCATGCTAGACGCAAACTTCAGGTGCCCTGAAGATTGCGTCTAGCATGAAACAGTCTGTCGTCTCTGAGTGTTGACTTCAATGTTCACTTATATATTTATATTTACATACGCTCTATCACTGCTATTGAGCACTTTAGCCCATAAATATAGCACACCTTAAGAGTATATTTTCTTCATATATATATATATATATATATATATATATATATATATATATATATATTGTTTAAAAATATGGTTTAACAAATATGATTTTCAACTAAAATTAATTTTTGGAGTAATAAAACTATGTTGGATAAAAATGTCCATTAATTATTTAGAAATTACTTTGTTTAGATTTCGGATACGAAATCTAAACAGATATGACTTCCGAGAAAATGTGAACGTGTGAAAGTGTATTAAACCGAATAGAACATTTCTAGGCGGTGAAGCGCACCAGATTAAACGGAGGTTTCATCTGCAAAGGAGGACACATGTTCGAAACATCGTTGACAACAGATTTTATTAAGCTTTCTCTAATGCGCAGACTGGTAGATGAAATAATTATTGTTTGAAAGGCAGTGTGTCTACTGAAACAACAGTATCCACTAAAATTAATGTTTGAAGTAATAATAATAATAATAATAATAATAATAATAATAATGATAATATATATATATATATATATATATATATATATATATATATAAATATTCTTTCTTCCGGTTTTTTTCTTTTCACGAACGCAAACACACACATCTGCGTGTGTCTATATCTGTGTGCGTTTGTGTAACGAGAAAAGAAAAAAATGCCAAAAGTGAGGATATTTAAACAGGAATTTTAGCAGAAATATAGACAATATATGAAGAAAATAGAAACAAACAGTCAGAAAAATTATTAGATAGATAGATAGACAGACAGACAGACAGACAGACAGATAGATAGATAGACAGACAGATAGACAGATAGATAGACAGACAGACGTACAAGACTAGATGTGTATAGATATGCATAGACAGACAGTAAGGACATTAGATATTTATTTGAAACACAAGACAGAACATCATTAGACTTTAGTATTTTAACTGATATTCCTTATATTTAGATATGATAGACAGATAGCATTTCTTTTTACCCACTATTATTTTCTACTAATCCAAACAATATTTTACAAGACTAGATGTGTAGGTTAATTCTCATGCATAAAAAAAACAACAAAAAAAAAACACTGCGTTATTCAAAACATTAGATAAATAACATTTGAAAACACAACACACGGAGACACACACATTATTTCTTTAGTATTTTAACCTGACACACTTTATATTTATATATGTATATATATATATATATCTTTTATATATATAGATCTATAGATAGAAATAATATTTAGATAGATGATAGATAGAGATACAGAGGGGGAGAGAGAGAGAGAACGAAGATTGTATAAAAAAAATTAACATATTCAAAAAAAAACAATAGCGTTAAAAGAATTAAACAAAATTTCAAGCCAATTAATAACATTTGATTTTGTTTATTTATCAAACATCACACATTTTCACACGAAATCGTTCACACACATATCTATCTATCTATCTATCTATATATATATATATACATATATATATATATATATATATATATATATATAGATACATATATGACAAAATATATATTTTATCTATAGATCTATCTACCTATCTATCTATCTATATATAGATATATATCTATATATTATAAAAATTGATTTAAAAACATATTCAATAAAACAGTTCCAACCATGTTTCAAAAATACCTATCTAAAAATCTATTTTATTTTATATATTTATATATATATCTATATATATATATATATATATATATATATATATATATATGTATGCATATTAATGTTAATCTGTGAATGTGTGTGGGAGAGAGAGGCGGGTGTGTGTGTGTGTGTGTGTGTGTGTGTGTGTGTGTGTGTGTGTGTGTGTGTGTGTGTGTGTGTGTGTGTAAAAAATAAGGCATGAATAAAATATATCTATAAAAGAGAGAATGAATAGTTTACATTTTGTCTCCCCTACAGAGGAAGCTATATCACACTTACGTCTATAGAGAAGAAGTAAAGGGAAAAACGCAGATTCGGCCGTTACCGTTAGTGGGCGGGGGACAGAATCTTACCACATCCTTTAAAATATAAATTCTAATCTTATGATGTACCCAGACACACGCACGCACACACACACGCTCGTGCGCGCGCACACACACACACACACACATATATATATATATATATATATATATATATATATATATATATATAGCTACAGATAGCTAAGTAGAGACACCTTAGGCAAGAAATCAAGGTCTGACCTGCACACTTTATACATATATATATATATATATGTGTGTGTGTGTGTGTGTGCGTGTGTGTGTACAAATACTTCTTTTCTGATTTTAACCAGTTTCCCAATGAGTATTAATCAACAAAATCAATTCAACATATATATGTAATTTAATTGTGTGTATAAATGAACAAATAAATACATAAATAATATTGTTTAAACATCATATATATATATATATATATATATATATATATATATATATATATATATATATATATATATAGAGAGAGAGAGATGCTGCGATGGATAAATTTTCGTCTAACTTATGTAAAATGGAATATAACACTGTCATTTCATTTTAACAGGTATATTTACCTATATTGCACAAAAATATCTTTAAATACGAAAGAATGAATTCATTCACTAAAATCTTCCCCGATTTCAACCACGTCCTTCAAATGACTTCGGAATCTCCTGCAACTCTTCTCCACGTTGGAGAATGCTGCCATAATCCTTGCCTTCAGTTTATCTTTGGTGTTACAACGAATTTTGTTTGTCTCTCGTTCAACTGCGCATAATAATGAAGAGTGTTGCAGTCTGTGGAGTTAGGTGAGCAGATGTAAAGGCTGATGTGGTTAAAGAATTTGTCTGACAGCCATGACTGGGTTCTACTGCTTGGGTCTTCCAACAGCTCACCACTTGACCCAGAGAAACACTACTTCCTGATAACTCTTCATAAAAGTCTGTGTTGAGTCTAAGGCCTTCACCAACAAATTCGGGAGGTCTCTTCTTATCAGAACGATCAGAGTGTGTTTTCCGAGCCGCCGTGTCTTCATAATTAAAATTAGACTCATAAAATGCTTTCCTTATCCTCTACACTGACACCTAAACTCTCTGAAATTTTCGTATTGAGCTTCCGGTGCGAATGCTAAGTGGAATAGTATGCTGCTTCCAGATTTCTGACAGAGTGAATTGCGTTATGGTGTTCTTTTTCTCACAGATAGTTCCCAACTGACCCTACTATATTGTGCAGTCAACAAAAAAAAATAATTGTGAAATAAAAAAATATAAAACAGTGACATTTTACCCATCGCACCTTAGACATATATATATATAATTCCATTGGTTGAAACTATTTTGAATAGAAGCGTTCACAATATTAGGGTTAGAACATTAACAAATATAAAAATGCGGATCTGAAAATTAACACTGCACGGTAATTGCCATATTCAGGAGTGAAGAAATCAGAAGCCATTTTAAGCGATGGTCCGATTATATCCTGAATTATATAGGAAATTATATTATACATCAAATTTTAAACAATATATATATATTTATATGTGAAAAGTGTATATAAATATAAATAAATATATATATATATGTATAATCATTTATATATTATATGCGCGGTACTTATTAGAAAGCGCTCAATATCAGAGATAGAGCTAACATATTTGGTTGGATTGACAAGTTATATGCTGACAAACAAAGTTTGTCTGACGATCGCTAAAGCGTGAAACCCAGGGTCACAAACTCACATCTATCCAACCAAATATATATATTTATATATATATATATATATATATATATGTGTGTGTGTGTGTGTGTGTGTGTGTGTTCGAGTATTTTTAAGTGTTTATCTGACAGTCTATATATATATATATATATATATATATATATATATATATATATACGAAAGCGTATTTCCTCTGTCTTGGAAATGTGGACAGAGAGCAATACGTATTACTGTATTGACCTTTTTTCTTCCTTCGCTTGTTATTTCCTTTCTTTTCTTACTTTTCTTTTGTCGGGTTTTCTCTTGGTTTTCTTCTTTCGGCTTTTGGTTTTTCATTATATTAGCTACTTTTTCGATCACTTGGCAGCTTTTTGACGGTTTTATATATATATATATGTGTGTGTGTGTGTGTGAAATTGTAGGAGAACGAACAGTAAGATTACGCCGTTCAGAACATTAATTTAAATATAGTACTCAATACATAAAGTAGAGCCGTAAATATTTATTTATCTCATGCAGTATTACATTAAAACATGCAAATATCCACTATAAAATTGTACATTTTCGTTTCAACACTAAAAAGGAAACCTTTTTAGACGTCGCATCACGTGGGTAATTATGGAGAAACAACATAATTCCCGCCTGATGCGACGTCTAAAAATGTTTCACTTTTTATGGTGTTGAAACGAAATGTACAATTTTATAGTGATATATGCATGATTTAATGTAACACTGCATAAGATATATATATATATATATATATATATATATATATATATATATATATATATATATATATATTATAAATTAATTAGTTACAGACATTAGTTCCATTTCATCATCAAGAAAATTCGCTTGAGGATGAAATGGAACTAATGTCTTTAATTTTAATTACAAAATTAAATTCGAAGCTTTCAGCTTCAATTTTTGAAACATGGTCAGAACTGTATAGCGAAAAATACATATTTTAAATCAATTAATTTATAATATATATATATATATATATATATATATATATATATATATATATATATATATATATATATATCTTATGCAGTGTTACATTAAATCATGCATATATCCACTATAAAATTGTACATTTTCGTTTCAACACCATAAAAGTGAAACATTTTTTAGACGTCGCATCAGTTCTGACCATGTTAAAAAAAGTTGAAAGCTGAATTTAATTAATAATTGAAGTTACAGAACATGGGTTCCATTTCATCCTCAAGAAAATTCGCTTGAGGATGAAATGGAACTAATGTCTTTAATTTAATTACAAAATTAAATTCGAAGCTTTCAGCTTCCATTTTTGAAACATGTTTAGAACTGTGTAGCGAAAAAAAACATATTTTAAATCAATTAATTTATAATATTAATGCTCTGTAATTTTACATTGAGCACTATTTTGTAAAAATAAAAATGTCTATAAGAACACCGGATTATATATCTTACTGTACTTTGTTTATTATATATATATATATATATATATATATATATATCAAAATTGTCCAAATCCTGTAACAGCATAATTGTCCATCTCACAAAATGTTTAATATCTAAAAAATCTCAAGCTAATTTAGTTTTTTTTTTCGAATTTACAGCTAAGACGTTTAGCCATATTGATACTATTTGTCGTAAAATTCACTGAAAAACTCAGCTTAAAAAGTGAAAAAATTAAAATCATTTTGTGTTAGACCCACTGTCTTTTCAATGTGACAGGAAAAACTCATTCAGGCTTACAGTAATGGTACCTATATTCATACAATGGCTTCCATCTTCAAAGTCCATTCAAGAACCATCAAGAGAACGGTGAATTAGTTTAAAAAAGAGGGAACAGTAGAGAGGAAAACTGGACCAGGAGGTCACAGTAGGAAGAGGGATCACCATTTCAACTATTGGCTAACGAAATAAATTAGAAAAGATCCAACTCAATCCATAAGTCGTTTGGCACGTGAGAGAGAAGTTTTACCTATGACAGTCCAAAAAGCAGTGAAAGAGTCTTGGAAATGAAATCGTACGTGAAAACTCTGAGGCATCTTGTTACTTCAAGGCAGAAAGTTAAAAGGTTAGAGCGGGCAAAGACCATCTGAAATTATATTTAACTGTCTCATTCTATCGAATGGAGATAGCTCAGTGGTAGAAACTCTGACTGACACCAAATCGG